GTGGGACTACCCAAATGCATGGCCGCCTCTAGTAAGTATAACTGTAAATGCATTGAGGACACTAGGGACACGAGAAGCTAAGCAGATGGCTTTCGATGTAGCTCAAAAGTGGGTACGAGCTTGTTTAAAAGGTTTCACGGATAATAAGCAGATGTTTGAGAAGTACGACGTGGAGCAGCCCGGCAGGATAGGCGGCGGTGGGGAGTACACCGTGCAGGCTGGCTTTGGTTGGTCCAACGGTGTCGTGTTGGAAATGATCAAGAATTACGCTTACAAAATGACCGCAACTGCTAATCCGGAATTATCCGATGAATCCATTTCCGAAGTGGAATTATCAGTCGAGTCTGTTGAAGCGAATTAGTATTTTGACAAGACCAAAGAGGTATTACTTTCCATTTTCGTTTTTCTTATTTTATTATTTTTAGACATTAATATAGTTGCAACAGCTCAATTTACTTCAACACTCTGACCACTAACTCCCGCCAGAATGGAACGCTAATTCTTAATGACATTGACAGATGTCAGATAGGGAAGGGACGTGTATGCCGATGATCTAGTGTTGCTCCGTTCTCCAGTGTAGTACCGATATTTTTCTTAACATTATGAGTTAATAAGTTTTAAACTTTTGTTAGTAATTTTAAACTTATTAATAAAAATTGTTCTTCTTATATTTTTCTACTTTAATGTAGTATTTATGCTTGTTACTTTGTCATCTATCTACTTTCATATTAAATAATTTATTTTTATAAAGATGTTCTAACTAATAAGATTATGTAATTAATAGCAGTTTAATTATTTAAGTTATATTAAAAGTGCCATTACTAAAATTATTTCCATTTGTACATAAAATAGGTAAAGATCGATGAGATTTTACAATGTTTAAAACATTTTTTTGATTAAGACATTTATTTTAAAATAACAATATTGTAAATTCCGTTCTGAAATCGAAGGTGGCTAAAAAATGATATGTCAAATGCAACTGAACACATACAAGTTTTGAATTTTTTTTTAGTATAAAGCAAAGGTTTTTTTAATGTACCTATTATAGTAAAAAAGATATATTATTTTTAATTTACCTAATGTAGAATGATTTGCTATTAGAATGTACAATTTTTAACGTCAAAAGAAATAAGTACATTTATCAAAAAAAGTATCAGCAGTGCAAACAGTTTCTTAACATTTTTGTACACTGAGCAAACAAAAACTTTTATTATGTTATCACATACAATTATTATTTTAGTTAATAACTTATTCATAATATAGTTAGTGTTTATGTAAATTCATTTTCATCGAATACATGAAATGTTACCATGTCACAAAATAATTGTGGTTGTGATTAAAATATAAAAATGTATCAATTATATTATTAAACAGATTTTTTATCAAAGCGTAATAAACGGCTGTGTCAGAATTTCGTGTTTTTTTTTAACACACTGGCTGCTTATAATCCCAAGTTAATATAAATAAAATATAAAAATAGGCTGAACATAATACAATATTGAACGCAAATTATTATGTTTTTGCTTCACAATTTTCTCATTGAATTTAATATCAGATCGTTGATCACATTAATTTTCTGACCAATTTATTGTAATCATAATCAATATGTACTATTAGTACGACTGATGAAGGTGCAATTATTTACTCTATAAATAACACATAATGATATCGGAGCAGGTTCAGGTTACCATGATGCGACATTAGATGTTTATTTGTTATGTTTCCTTGGTGATTTCTGCAATTAAATTATACTGTAATTAGGTTTAATCGCGTCTACGTCTGCGCAGAATTAAAAAATAACGTTGTCTATGCCTTTCCATCTGTCACCTATCTCTGTGCCAAACATCCGTTTAGCCGTTTTGGCGTTGTCCTCAAATAAATATTTATCCATCGTGTTAATTGCACTTAAATTGGAGACTTTCGACATCTATGGAATCTCGATTTAAACTTACAAAAAAATGTTAATTAAAATCATCACGGTAAGCTAATAAATGTCGCTTACAAATATGCTTGTAATGTACAATTTATTAGTTCCTTTCCTTTTTCCATTAAATGACCGTTAATTTAATTGCATATTTACCACTACTTGTCACAGATGACAGTAATTGATTTTCCCGCTTCAAAACGTATTCGTATGCTTCAATCGCGCATGCGTGGAATTCTCGCTGCTCATTGGTCGCTATTTTAAACGTCATTCTAGTGATGCGCGGTTGGATAACGTTTTATATAGCAACCATATAACGCTTAATCAACTGTGTAACATTAACTAGTAGAAAAACTGTTAACAGAACTTCTGAAACGTTAGGTCATCGGATTAGGTCTGTTTAACAAATAAATAAGGTTATTATAAAATTAGGATAGACCTAGAGAATTTTCCGATATACAATAATAATCAAAGTATTATTTTAGATTGTAAAATAAGACATCGCGTCATACTTTTTTATGTAAAACCTAATGGAATAGTAACAAATTCATGTATTGCTTTTCAATATAAATCGTGAATGACACCAAGAGCTGATAATGTATTGAGATATCCTCAATGCAACAGCCCTACTCTTATTTGATATGTTTTGACAGTTAAAACGTAGGCAGCGTGTATCATGGTCACTTTGCACTTGTTATAAAGTCGTAAGCAAAACTCGTGCGGACTAGCCGGGGAGAGGCGGCGGGGG